TCGTCGGCCAGAAGGTCGACAACAAGGGGGTGATGATGCTGCGTTGCACATTTTGCAACAAAGTATTCCAGGGGACTTTATTCCAGGCAACCAGGCACTTCTTGCAGACCAATTACTGCAAGGCCGTCACTGATGAGGCCTTGTACGAGATCGGAAAACGGACTCAACTGAAGTTCGAGGCCGACCAGATGGAGAGGATTTTCAGGTTTGCAGCGGAGCGTGGACTTGATGTGCCCCGGGCCGGTGCAGCGACGGGAGGAGAGGCGGTGCAGCGGCCGCGGGAGGTGGGGGGGGGGCAGAGAGATTGGGCATGGTGAGCCCGACCAGCCATTGGGGGGTAGAGGCGGTGGCATCCAGGGGGACGTGATCATCGATGATCGTGAGGCACGTGGCACGGCCCGAGAGGGATTCCCTGGACACGAGGATCAGCCCGAGTTCGATCCATTGATGGGGGAGAGGATCGTGGACTGGCAACGGCAAGGGGGCAAGGGGCAACAACCTCCTGGGCAGGAACTGACAGGGGAGGGTTCTTCCAAGAGGAAGGAAGGGGGGGCTGTTCCGGCTAGCACTCAAGCTGGAAAGAGGCTTAGACAACAGAAGGTGGATGAGGTGTACGGTGGCGAGTGGGTTGCTCGCCACAAGAAGACCTTCCTTCACTGGCTTTATTCCAGCGGGGTTTCCTTCAATGCCTTCCGCAATGACGCATGGAGGACATATCAGCAGGTGCTTCTTCAGCAGCCTGGCAGTTCGCCACGCGCTGTGCTCCCTAGCCACAGCGAGATTGCGAGCATGCAGGCAGTGGAGAGGCACCGTGCGGAGTTGGCCGAGGAGTTGGAGGAGGTGAGGCAGACATTTTGGGTGACTGGCGCCACCATCCTCTCAGACAGGAGGAAATCACGAGACGGGAGACCGATCGTTAATTTCCTCGCCACAGGGTCTCGAGGGGTTGTCATGTACACGACGATCAATCGAGAGGGGGAGCCGGACGATGCTGTGCACGTCCTTTGGAGATGGGTGACCATTTTCCATGAGTTCAGGTTCGGCGGGCCGCAACGGGTCAATGCGATATGCACTGACTCCGCGTCAGCGTACGTTGGGGCTGCCAGGGCTCTGACCTCGGAGACCATGCCTGCAGCATTGAGGAGGATCACTTGGCTCCCATGCTCGGTCCATGTCTGCAACAAATTGTTGTCAGACATGGGGACGAGTTGCGACGCGTTTGTTGATACTATCACACGCGCTCGTGTGCTGGTGGTGTTTTTCAAAACCCACCAGACGGCCCTTCATTTTTTTAGGAAGCGCAGCCCCAACCTCGGTCTTGTTCTTTCATGCGAGACGCGGTTTGCATCTGTGTACTCCATGTTGGAGAGGCTCATGGCCCTGCAGGACACTTTGCAGGACATGATGCGAGGGGATGACGCACGGGTTTTTGCCTCCATCCCGTGGTCTGTTGATGTTTGCTACATGGCGCGTTGGGTGCGCCGACAGATCAGATGGGATCCTTGGTGGCAGAGGGTGGCCGCCATCGTCCATATCATGGAGCCCGTGATGCAGTTGCTCCGACGGATGGATCGTGGAGGGCAGTTCATGTCGCTCGTGCTCGAGTGGGCACAGGCTCTTGTGAAGCGGGTGAAGGAGGCATGCACTCCTTTGGGGTCCTCGATCGCAGACCGGATCATCAAGCGTGTGCAGGCACACTCCCAGCACATGCTAGAGCCGGCCCACTGCGTTTGGTTCTTACTGAGCCCCCGCAGGCGACATGTTCGATATTTTTCCGGCGAGGTGCAAGAGTACCATGCTTGGCTTGTGAGACAAGCCAAGAGGTACATTCTGACGCAGACGGGTTTCGATTTGGAGGGTGCGGAGTGCCTCCTTGCCTGCCGGCAGTTCGAGGACTTCCACATGCAGCAGGGCAGGTTTGGTGATTGGGGAGGGGCGGAGGGGCGTGCTCGTGGGCGCGCGTGTGGCGGTGACACCGAGACGATCGAGTGCGCGTCTTGGTGGTCCCAGTACGGGGCCCGCGCCCCTGAGTTGCAGTGGTGCGCTCTTCGTGTGATGCATATGTGGTCTTGCGTCTCTCCAGCGGAGAGGAACTGGGCAGTCCACGAGGGCATCCACACGAAGAAGCGCAACAGGTTGGCCTTTGAGAAGGTCGTGCAGCTCGTTGAGATCACCGCAAATGTGCGGTTGACAGAATATCGGCGGGCAGGATGCGGTTACATGTTGCCATGGCAGCGTGACGAGGGGATGTTGGACTGCCAGGCAGGACTGGAGCTTGAGCCGGTGCGCACGGGCACGCGCCAGGGGATGACGGCGACGGAGATTGCAGAGCAGGTTGCGCTTCTTACGCGCGATCCCATCGGGTCTTCCACACCGCCATCCGCTGATGCTGTTTTTGAGAGACGTGCTTGCATTTTCCATCCGTACCCCAGGGACGATGACTCGGATGAGGAGCCCGCACCCGAGGGATCAAATGACCCTGCCCTGCCCATCCCGAGCGAGATCGACGAGACGCATGAGGAGGCCAATGATGTCGAGGTGAGGACATACACGGCTCGGCGGCCAGCGGACCGGGCAGAGGAGGAGATGCAGGGGGGGGGCGAGGATTTATGGGGCCCTTTCGGGGAGGTGGCTTCCACGGGTGATGCGCGTGCTGACAGAGGCGGGGCCTCTCATGCCGACATGAGCCGTGCAGAGGCGGGGAGACCGACTCCTGCTCCTGTCGGGCGAGAGTCGGCCATTCAGCCACTGCGGATGCGTCTTTTCTCTCGAGGGTGGTGACGAACTTGAACAATTCTGAAACCTTATTTGCATTTGACGAGTTTTATGTACTTTTGGTGGTGCGTAACATGTGGTCCTCCGAAAACCGAAATTCTCTAATGGGGTGGGCTATTTATGTCTTACGTGTGGTGGATTGCTTCGGTCTCTTGGACCAGTTCACCCAAAAGTTGTTATGGGGAACCCCAGGGGGAAACAAGCTCAGGTGCAGAAATGGCGTGAGTTCTATGTGCAGGCGCTTCACAAGACGCCCTACAACCACTTGTGGATTCTCGCTGATGAGACGGGCGAGGATAATATTAAGCAGCAGAACGCTGCCCTTCATACTTATTTTCTGTTCGTGATGGCAGGAAAAAGCGTGTGGGAATTCGGTATGGAATTCTTCGACAAATGGGAGATGGGGAGACTTCTGACACCCGAGGGGGCGAGTGGGTCCTAAAGAAAAAGAAAGTGAAGGACATCAGGCCCGACGTCAGCCACATCGAAAATGAGAAGTTGAGGGGAAAGGAGGTTGTCTACAACGTCCCAGTCGAGGCGCCCTAAAAGAAAGGTAAGAAGGAGCGAGAGCCAGGTGATTGGTTCGTCCAAGTCACCGAGCTAGATCCGCACTGCTGGAAGAGTATGGAAGCCCTTACCGACAATGAGAAATGTCGGTTGCTCAAGAAGGTCCTCAACTGCGAGGTAGTGTGGGTGCAAACAGGCTCCGCTTTATTGGCGAAGCAAGGGAAGTTGGGAGTGCAGGAAGCAGTGCAGCTGCTAAAATGTGATCGCATCTTGGTGCAATTATGGAACTACTACCGGTTCATGCACGAGAATCGGCCGGATACGGACTAGATATGTGCGTATCTCTTCCTGAAGAAACGGGAGACGATTTTGGTGGAGTTCGAGAAGCAGGGAATGGATGCTGCGTTGTGCGACGGGAGCAGTAAGCTCGTCGATGACGCCTCGTTGTTTAAGGATTGCCCGCCGTATATGGGGTGCGAGGACGACAAGACGATTAAGGCGACGGAAAAAATCGTCCTCAACAAGAAGTTGTCTGCCGATTGGAAGAACAAGGTCCTCTCCGTGTTGACCGGAAGTAGGACGAAGAGTATGGAGGTCGTGCTTGCCGAAGGCATTGTGCACGTTCTGTGGAAAGACTCGGGGGACATGACATCCATCGCCCCGTTCGGCGTTGACCCTCCGGAGGTGCAGATGAGGGTCATGGAGTTGGAGAAAGCGGTTGGGACCACCAAATGCCACACGTGCGTTCTCGATCTGTGCGAGCTGGTGGACTTCAAACAGTGGAAGCCGAAAGCTTTCGAGAGTTCGAATTCCGTCCAAGAGCAATTGTTTCCGTCACACTGGACGGTCATCGCTTTCATCCCTCCGCGGTGGGACTACTCCTTCATGACCAGCCTGCGCCGTCTGCCCGTTGTCAAGGCAATGGCAGGGAAGTGGGTCAAGAAGGCACAACAGAAGAAAAGTTTTTCAGTCGGGAACAACTTGTACTCGGCTAACTTGAACGACCACATGTACATTCTCTTCAAAGGTGACGATTTGCAGGAGAATACTTCTGTCATTTACGATGGTAGGTTATCGGCAGGTGACGCTGCGGCTGTTGGGGCACATTAGAAACTGACCCCGACAGATATATCAGAGATTCCCTTCGACCCTTGCGAGTGGTCGTCAGCCGTGCCTAGAGTTGACAGGAAGGTCTACAAGGAGATGGAGTGGAACCCCACGCAATTGGCCCATCTGTCGGAATTCGTGTGCAAAAAGGGGGAGCACGTCATGTTCATTGGGAAGCCGCACACGCGAGTCGTGTGGGAGGTTTTGAAGAGCGACTGACACGTGGTCGCACTGAATTGGAATTCTGAGTCGTTGCAATACACGTTGGAGTTCTTCAAAAGCGAGGTCAATTCTGGAGCCAACCGCTCAGAGTTCATTTCGAGGAGCGAGAAACCGAGACACATTTGGGAACCGTCAACGGACATGTGGTTCAAGTTGAGCGAGCGGAAGAGGAACATGATCTATGAGTTCCTCTTTTTAAAAACGCGGTCCAGAAGGCTGGAGGGACAACGACGCTGAGTACATGCGTGGCAAGGAGCACATGTTAGCGTTGTTGGACAACTACCAAGATGCCTCACGCAAGAACGCAAAGAACTTCCTCGACCGGTTGGAGTGTTTGTACTTCGTCGAGTTCGAGCAGGTGCTGAAGGTCGAGAGTTATGGTGCCTTGATCTCCACGGACGATAAGTTGGAGACAGGTTTTGTTTTCAACACCGCGATGCCGGAGAAGGACAGCGACAACGAGGACATCGACCTCGATTACCACCCTGCTCCGGTGTTTCATGCACCAGTCTCCTCGTCGGTCGCTCCCTCAACAAGCTAGGCCACCCAGGTGTCACCTGTGCTCATGTCCACCCCATGTAAAACCTTGAGTAAGCTGGCGGCAAGACTGACACCTCGGGCTGCCGCCCCACCTCCGTTGCGTCCTGGGAGTTCGGTTCCGCTGCATCATCCTTCTCGCAAGGATGATACCATTCACTTCGAAGGGCTCGACCACACTCAATCGAGTGAGGCAGACTAGGGCCATGACATGATTTGGCACCTAGGAACTATCCAGCCGGCAATCCAGAAGGCCGAGTGGATCATAGCCCTCATCAACAACCAAGGATTGTGGGAGCCATACCCGCACCTGTCGAAGGCCGAGTACCTGGAACTCACAAAAAGTTTAGTGGTCGATAAAGTGAGGTCTGGAAATTTCAACCTTCAACCCGCGGACCCAGCCATCGATTCCACTGTTGAACGTCTATTTCAAGAACTTCACAACTAGTGGTTGGAACTCTCAGATGAATTCTACGACCTCGACACGAGCCCTTCGAAGAGATGGGTGGACATGAAGGTTCCCCCTGCAACCGGGTCACAGGGTAGTTAAGAGGGGGGGGGGGCGGAGAGGGGGGGGGGGGGGCGAAGGGAACAACGAGGGGACAGTAGAGGGGACCACCGCTATGGGACAGGTTTCGCCTCACCAGGAGGCCATGACAACGGAAAGCGGTGGTGGAGAGGGGGGGGGGACCCTTGCTCGACAGCCGACTGCCAGGTCTGGTAAAGAACCTGCGACGAAGTCCGCCGGCATCCGAACTACGTCGACCGAGGCATCGGGTGCAAGTGTAGCGCCCGCGGACCTCGATACGTCAAAGTCCGCCCGGATCCGAACTTCTTCACAAAGGGGTCCACCGACACAGGTTGTCGTGCCGATGGGAGGGGCGATGCGCGTTGGGACATAATAGTGGTCTGCGAGATTCAACAAGGTTTCGGGAGAACGGGCTGAATTGCATGGGATAGATGGAGGGGAAGAAGGGAAAGGAGGGTAATAATCGGAGGAAGGAGAGGAATGGGGAGAAAAGGAGTTGATTCTGTTGAGTGAAGGAGAAGAGGGTAAACAAGTGGATTTCGATATTGATGACGAGGAATGGGTGGATAGTGAGGACGATGCCGGCGGTGAAGAGTCGTCTGACTTGTTTGGGCTGCTGTACAGAGAGCATCGCGGGCATAATGTCGATGACAATGATGGAAACGCAGGTGGTCAGTGACCTTTCAGCAGACCCTGAAGATTATGAGGTTCAACCGTTGATGGCTGCAGTCTATCTCCAACATCGGTGCGACAAGGTTTCCGTTGCTGTGATCCCAGCTGAACAAAGTCAACATATGAGCATCGTTGAAATTATCGATGGCATACTCGACGGCGAGCAGGTGTCTGCACAACGGTCTGCAACGCCTATCGTGGACGACCCCCGTAACGTCACACCTTTTGTGTCCTTTCTCACCGTTTTCTCACCACCCAGCTCTCCGGTACTGACTGCCACCTTCGCCAGCAGCTGGGAGGGCGAAGTCGGGGGCCGACAACATGTCACGTCCCCGAAAAAATCTAAGGGCGACACTCAGGCTCTCGACGTGCTGGCCTTACCCGCGCCAACGTCACCAACGAAGGAGTGAAGGGATAAACCAGTTGGTAAGCAGTGATAAACGCCACAATGTACGAGGTCCCCGGCTAAGAACCTAGGCAACTCAATGGAACGACGTTTTTTTCTTCTCGGAGAGAGTGGTGGTTTTAGTCCGCCGGGATCTACACTTCCTATGTCGATGCGTAATGTGGTTAGGCTTTGTGTGCCTGCTGTGGGAAAAGTCTGCCGAAATCCGAACTTCGGGGAATGTTGGTCTTCTGCTTATGTGGCTTGTTGTTGTTTTCCTTTGTAAAGGTCGGGGGTATCAAGCTCGAATGCGCTCGTCATTTTGTTGTCTAGCCGCACACACGCAGCTCCGTGTTCATGGGAATCATGGCCATGCGAAATCGGAGTTCTGTAATTGGAGAGGTCCTGCGTCTTGTAGGTTATGTGGTTCTTTTACATTGTCACTTTCGTCGGACTCGTGTTGGGAAACGTGTATTCATTTTTCGTTTTATCTTCTGTTGTACAGAGGTAGGTTCATCTCGAACACGGAGATCGTCAAAATTTCCAGAACACATATCGCAAAAAGTTCCTGGGTTGACGACAAAACACAAGAATAGGTTAAAGGCATCAAGGGTTGATGTTGGTGGAAGGAGATCCAAGACAAGCGGATGAAGCTAGTTGCGGGGTGTTCATGTTGATGTTTGCAACACTGTTGCAACGTGGTGATCGATCACCTTTCGAGTTCTCTTGTAAATATATTCCGCTTATTAGACGACAATTGGCATGATGTATCTTAGAACGCCGTTGTCTTTTATGGATTTGATTGATTTAGAAACTTTTTTTTTTAAAGATTTCATTCATTAATTATTATATTTTGTAAATCCTTACAAAACTCAACTGTCGTTTTCACAACGACGTTGCTTTCTTTTATTGTTGCAAGTTTGAGTTGTCTTTGACATTCTCACTTCCAAACTGGCGTCACGTGTTCACTTTGGAATCTCTATCACATCCCAGTCATCTCTCATGCGGCGGAGCAAGTGCGCACTGCGTTCCTTGTTTCAAATTGTATTCAGGTCAACCAAAAGTGTACATACGATTGACATGAAATAATATCGGCAATTGTAGTGCGACATCACAAATTGGTGTGTGGATGTAACACAAATCTCAGCGAGTGTGTGAGTGTGCGGTTAATTATGCAAAAACCATTAAAATCACGTCTCTTGCGTCCGCACACAATCACGTGACTTGTGACCGCTTGCATTATATGTAACCAACAACTTTACGTTCATGCCCAAACCTTTTGTGCATGGCCAATCAGAAGTTCGGATTCAATAAAAAATATGCAAATTTTTTGAAGTTCTTGTGCAATATGACAGCTGTTGTCGCAGAAAATGAACTTGCATGTCAAACTTAACTACTTCTACTTCGACTACTACTATTGCTTTACATGAAGTTTACAATGATACATTGTTCAAAGCAAACATATATATATATATATATATAAGAATAGATTGATAAATACAAAGAGAGAGGAGGAGAGAGAGAGAGGGAGAGAGAGAGCGAGAGAGAGAGAGAGAGACAGAGAGAGAGAGAGAGGGACTGAGAGACAAATAGAGAGGGAGAGACTCACACATCGATAAAGAGAGGGGGAGAGAGAGAGAGAGAGAGAGAGAGAGAGAGAGAGAGAGACAGACAGACAGACAGACAGACAGAAGGGGAGAGGGAGAGACCGAGAGAGCGAGATAGAGAGAGACTCTAAAAGAGAGAGACAAAGAGAGAGAGAGAGAGAGAGAAAAGGATTCTAAGAGAGAGAAAGACAGAGTGAGAGAGAGAGAGAGAGAAACTTTGTGAGACAAAGTTAGAGAAAGAGGGACAAAGAGACTGATAGAGAGGGAGAGACTCACTCATAGATAAAGAGAGGGGGGGAGAGAGAGAGAGAG